AGATTGGAGAGCAAGCCGCCAAGCAATTTCTTCAATGGGATCATCTTACATCTCCTCGCACGGGCCCAGCATGTTAGAGCATAAATGAGGGAAGGTGTGATCTGCAACCAAAGGACTTTCCTGATCATGATTATCATGGGAGTTCTCTGTGATAACTTCTGTATGCTCCTCAACGCTCCCGTAGCCTTTGTCATCCTCCACCTCTTCTAGCGTGGTAGCAGAAAGGTGATCTTAAGCAAGATGTGAGCAAACTTGCTCTACCCACTCTGTTTGCTTCGCTGAGCGCTGAACAGTCTCCTCCATATCATGGATAAATGAGGTATCGGAAGAGGCAAGGGCTTGGATTTGAAGATCCATCTTGGAGCATGCTCTCTCAGTGTCTCGAGCAAACTGCTCCACGAGAAGCCTTAATTGTTTGTTCGGATCTTCCAGTGAAGTGTAGCATGGCTCTGCAGAGTGACCCGTGAAGGCCTCCATGGCTAACTCCAACTCAGATGGCCCCTCTGGTTGTGGCAGGAACTCTTCTTGAAAAGGATATTGTCCTTGAGGTTCCCAAGGGTTTGGTTGTTCTCCGTAGAAGGAGGGTTGGTACTGACATCCGAACCCATAGTCTTCTCCTCCTTGATTGCTCCAGGAAGTCTCGGGGTCATACCACACGGATGGTGGTTGATACCCCCAATGGTTGGAGAAGCCATAAGGATCCATGTTTCAGAGCTGCACCAACAAAAACATAACACCCAAGTGAAAAGCAAGGGTGGAAAAGAAAAGAAAAAAGCTAAAGTAACAGACTTTCACATTTCCCCAATAACCTAGAGGGTCCCCGACAACGGCGCCAAAAACTTGATGCTCTAAAACACAACACCAAACTGCGACCAAGTATAATCGCAGTCCGGGAATGCAGTAAAGTGACAAGTTATATTATCAACCTGGGGTCTAGATCTACTGCTTACTCAGTGATTCTCTATTATCTAGCCAACTAAGTTAAGTGTTTGTTGTGTAAAAGCAAAAGCAGGAAGAAAGCAGGAATTGATACGGTTTTCTCAAGCAGGTAAGAGTCACTCGGGAATGAGTCCCCCTAGCTCCTTAGTTAGGTTTCAATTGTATTTCCCTGGGTTGATTCACTGTTGATTAGACTGCGGAAGATCCGGCAGTAGCTTGGAATCTCTTAAGCTGACCAAGCCCTCTCAGTCTAACTACCCGGCAGACGACTAGTCTTCACCGGGATAGAAAGCTGAAGCAGTAAGAACAGAACTCCACTACTGGAATTGGATTCCAGTACAAAGCAGTAAACTGGCTAACTCTCGTATAGCCAATCTCCTACTACCGAATGATGAGACTCTAGCAACCTAATCAGATTCTATCTATCTCAGATTGCAGCATGAATCAGGAAAAGTTGATCAGACTTCAATTGACTCAATAAACATGCATCATTCGATTAAAATCAAACAGTAATATCATCCCAAGTCATTCCAATCAATCCCTAACACATAGAACTAGGGTTCTTCATCCCCAAGTGAGAGAGGGGTTATACTCCATAGAGAGAGAGAGAGAGGAAAACAAGATACAAAGCAGTCATACTCATAATTATGGGAAGAATCTGCTCTGGGATGATGATTTCCACTCCTATGACGATCTCCAAGCTTGATTTGATGAAACCCAGCTCCAAGATAGCTTCTAGGATGTGTTCTTCGTCCTTTCTCTCTCTAGGGCTCTGTTTTTGCTCAAAAAAATCCGAATGCCTCTTCCTTGGCTCGAATCTGCCTTCAAAAACCCGACTCTGGGCGAAATACAGGCAGAATTACGGCCGTAATCACGGCCTGCCCATAAATCGCCAAAACGCGCGTTTCACTTTACTCTGATGGAAGAGGAGTTACGCCCGTAATTTCACAATTACCGCCAGTATTTCACTAATTACGGTCGTAATTTGGTGGATGCTTGCCCGTAATTTTAGTGCCGATAAGAATTCTTGGGAAAAGAGGCTCGGCATTGGTTTTACGGGCATGCCCTGACCAATTACGGTCGTAATTTGGCAGGGGCTGCCCGTAATTTGTCCTGTGAATCACCACCTGACCTCCAAATGACCCGAAACTTGCGCCTATGCACCTCTTTACTTGCTAGGACCTGAAATACGACAAAACAACACAACCTAGCGTAAAATAGGCCAAGGAACAATCAATTCAAGCTAAAATGGACAGGAAACTAGAGTGAAAACACGTGCAAATACGATGCTATCAATCATGGTTGAACCGCAAGTGACTTGCGGTTGGACCATGGTGGAACCACAAGTGACCTGCGGTTGGACCATGGCTGAACCACAACTGAGCTGCGGTTGGACCATGGTGCAACCGCAGGTCACTTGCGGTTCCACCATGGTCCAAGCGCAGCTCAGTTGTGGTTCAGCCATGGTCCAACCGCAGGTCACTTGCGATTCAGCCATGGCCGAACCGCAAGTGACCCGCGGCTCCCATTTTTTGTGTTTTTTTTTTAGTTTTTCAGTTAATGTATTTACCTCGTCGGAGTCGCTACTCATGATTCAGACGTCCTACCAACAATATCGGCTTCAAAATGACGATGATGGATTTTTCTCTCCTTAGATAATGTTTTTTTAGTCCAAGTGGTGTTTGTTTGATAAAGGGAATGTAAAGAAGCTAGGGGGGTTATAAGTGTAACTTTAATACTTTTTAGGGTGACCTTTAGCAATTTTAAGGGCGACCTTTAGCAACTCCCTTTATCATTCACGCACAAATCCGTTTTGCTCTGGTGAGATAATCTGGGGTAATGGTGCGGCTGGTCCAGACCGGACCATATAAGCGGTTTATGGTCCCGACCGAGAGGTTAGAGTATAGTGTCAAGAACCAGTTGATCCCAATAACTCGAGTTATTGGGAGAGGTTCAGTCGTGGATCATATACCACACACTAACACACCCCCGCAAACGAAAGCCATTCACAAGGGCTTGAAGTTTGCACAGGTCTGAAGACAAGAATACCATGTGCTAAACAAATGGGGGTCATGGGGATTCGAACACAAGACCTCTCGGTCACATAAGGCTCTGATACCATGTCAAGAACCAGTTGATCCCAATAACTCGAGTTATTGGGAGAGGTTCAATCGTGGATCATATACCACACACTAACATATAGACCATAGACCAAACCACAGACTATACGGTCCAGACCAGACCACGTCTATGCTGTCTGGTCCGGTACAATTTGGTCCAGATAGAACACAGTGAATAAAAAATGAACAGTTTAATTAGTCAACCGCACAAAAAATTGAACCAATAGCCAAGAAAAAAAATGTTTGATTTCCTTAAAACATAAATCCCTACATGCATGGATAACTTTGACACCATAGATCTCAGTAAATAATAAAGATACAAAGTTAAAGCATCCCAAATTATACCACAACGTCATAAACATATACATAATGTCATACGGAGACATGATCGTCTCTACTCTCTAGTGAAATGTGGTTGTGAATAAACAAGGGGACGAGATTCTCAAAAGTAAGATTGAGACTTGGGTATCGTTGTGAGAGTTGAGAGAATGGGTTGCTAATACGTATTGAGAAGTCTGTTGGGTCTACGGTTTGGTCCGATAAACCACGGTCTAGACCAGATCAAACCAAGAAATCAAAACATCATATAATACAGACCATGAACCAGACCAGACCATACTTAACGGTCTACGGTCCGGACCAAACTATACAATCCGATTTGGACCATAATTTTCAAAAGATTTTGTCTACTTTCCCATCACTAACTCGTACACGAGTATTTTGCACCCAAATCTCACATTTAAATCACTCATACAGCAAATCAAAACAAAAACAAAAAATCGGTCATACAGACTACCCATATATGGTTAATACATAATACTAAGCCTTGAACGTAAGCATCGGGCCTCTTGTCTGATCCACTGGCCCGGCAAATCACAATGCGGCTGTCGGCTGGTCCTCATCAATTCTCAAGACCCAAATGGTTTTAAGTTTTAACACACTTTAGCCCATTTCTTTTATATGACGCTGCTGGTACAGTGGTACTGCTAGCCGCTAGGGCCCTAAGCTCTTTACATTACAGCTTCCATCAAATCAAACAGTTTCGATACACAAGGTTAATTGCATGGTTGATCACTGATATTATAAAAACGTTCATTTTTTGTCACTGAAAATATTTGAATTTATTGATGATCACTAATTTTAGTGAAAACGTTCACGTTTGGTAACTCTCCGTTAGTCGTCCTCCATCTCCGTTAACACACTCCGTTAAGCGCTAACGTGGCGAACGGAATCGTCTAATCAACCCTATTTAACCCAAAAATAGTGGGAACCGACCCGCCACATCACTAAGACCTACCATGTCATCTGGACCAACCCAACCCTCTAACCAGATCTGACTTGTGAACCGACCCACACAAATTAAATCCTTAAATCTAAAACATATCCACTTATCTCCTTCGATCATGTCTCCTTTCTCTCGACTTTCATCCTCTTCCAGTAACCAAACAAGAACGTTTTTTGTAATATCAGTAACCAATCATGCAATTAATCCCGATCCACAAAAACATATTCTCCTGTTCTCTCCAAGCTTCTATTTCCGCACAGAACAAGGAGACGAGAGTGTTTATGATCAAGTTATAGGCACCCACGTTGCCACCATAAATATATGCCGAAGCAACAAAGACCACTTGATTGGGCTTTACGAACGACCTAAGCCCCAGCTCAGCGCTGCATGATCCATAAGCCCACACAATATATTGAAAAAGTGAAACCAATCGATTTCCGCACGGAACAAGGAGAAGAGGAAAGGAAGGCACCCACGATTTCCTGCCTGCCATATATAGACCAATCAAACTTCTGCAGAACAGCAGAAGCGAGCGAGCGAGCTCTGTCACTTTCAATAGAAATGAGACAAATGATGGATAATTGAGAGCGCTACTGAACATACAAACCCCTTGGGGCCAAAACCACCAACTAGTTTCAACTCAAACTACTACATCTTCACAACCAGCCACAGCAGATGTAATGAGTCGAGGGCATCCTCCCCGTCTGGCGAATGTATTCTGCTTTCGCAGCTGTTCTCTCTGCATCTCTATTCTTCCTTGATTCAGCTGCAGCTCGTCTCTCCTCGGCTCTTTGCCTCGCCATCGCCACTTTCTTCACCATCTTAGCTTCTGCTTGAGCTTTCATTTGTTCCACTTTAGACTGACACATCATCCCACAGCTCATGAGTTCGGAATGTATATGGTTTACTTCGCTATCTACTATAGCGAAATAGAGAAAATTACACTCGCTAACCTCAGTTCTGCGCATATCTGCCTCCAGCTTTGCTATCTGATGGCTTTCCCATGCTTGGATTTGTATCTCTTCACGTTTATATCTGCCAAGAACGAGTACCAAACCAAATAAATACCATGATCATTGATCTAGGTAATGTGCCTTAGTAATGGTGTGTCTCATGAGCATGCCAAAGTGGAGGTGAAGAAGAAATACACACCTTGCTGAGTGTTTACACTTCTCAGCTTCTTCCCAAGCAGCTGCACGCTTCTCGAACTCAATCTGCTCCACTGACTCCATATCGCGAGACTGTGCCATGTTCTTTTCCTCTTCTTCTGTACTCGCCCAAGCAGCAATGTTCATCTTGCCAAGCTTCACACCAAGGGCGACGATCTCCCTCCTTGTCTTCAGTTTCAGTTCTTCCTCGCTTAGTTCCCTCTTAGTACCATTCTGGCTAGCTGTGCACTTGTTGCTGCTGCCATCTTCATGCTCTACAGGTGTTGTTGTGGGGCCTCCTCTTCTTGGTGTAGACGGGATTGATGAAGTTGGGCTGCGAATGGGAGTTGTTGCACCAATAGGGGTGCTCGTCCTTGATGGTTCTTGACTCGCAACGGGTGTCATCTCTGTTCCCATGTCTCTCATACAAACTGATCTTATCACAGGCACCACTGCAATTTCAGTGAAGAAAGGTAAATATCCAACTGAGAAAGATAATATCCATCAGCAATTACAAACAATATCCAAGTACCAAACACACCCCAATGGCCCAATGAATCACATTCCCTAGTGTCATTAAGATGAGACAAGTAGCAAACAACTTTAAGAAAAACATTCCATCAGTAGCAAACTTCTTATCAAGTGGTCCATCCACTGTGTCCTACCTGCTTAGCATGACCCTTGATTAAGAAAGCAACCAAAAACAACCCAAAATCGACTGTTTTGATTGATTCCCTCAATTCTCTGCATCATTTTGTGAAACACAAAAAACCAAATGTTCTTATTGTTTCACTAATGGCCACTTATGAAACCAATTAAAGGACACAGAACTTTTACCTGTCCTATCTTCTGTCGAAGTGTTCATAGTTGATAGTGCCATAGGATCCACCTCCTTCAAATCCTTGCTCTGACCATACTGATCCATCAACGTATTTGCTTGGCCGGAAATGGAAGGAGTTCCAGGAGCACCAAGGAAGGAGAATTTCTCCAACCCAAGCTGGGAAGCAGTCTGACAAAAATCTACACGCTTGGTGTCCACCATCCTACCACCACCAGTTGCTACTAGCTCAGGAGCAACCCGCCCCATGTGTGTAGTAATGGGCATCCGATTAATACCCTGGTTGTTGTGGAACCCATTCTTCCTTGGATAACCACCACCATGCTGCTGCTGCTGCACATTTTGCTTGTTCATGATCCATTTCTCTGCATCATTCCACTTGGACGACATGGGCCTCGACAATGATCTCACCAGCTGGCATTGTGCCGCGGATCTCTCCTTATGGAACTCGAAGCTGGACGAGCTATCGTACCCTGGGTTCTCGTCTTCCATGGCTCTCACGTTGTGGACTGCATTCGAGTTGACGCTTTCCGACCTCAAGAGCTGATGTATCTTGGCATGATCCAAATCGTGGGTGTTGTTTTCTTTGAGCGGATGATGGCGACTCGTGTCAGGGTCTAATGCTGCCTCGCTTGTGACTGTTGTAGATGTAACTCCTGATGAAGGCGCCTCAACTGGAATCAGCAAACTCAAACGGATTACTAATCACAAACAAAATGCGAATATAGGTTTGGAACAATCTGAAGCAAAGGTTGTATTTTCAGACGGTTGCCTAAGATGAGTTAAACAAACAGACCTTCATCGGCGAAATCTGGGTGGTCGTCGTCATCGTTGGAGTCTAAGAGACTGCTCTTGACGAATTCAGTGTCGGCAACTCTGCAAGGAGAAGTGCGAGAGGAGCTGCAATTAGATGAACCTTCTTTCTTCCTGCTGCTGCTGTGGTGAGCCCCCATTAGCTTCATCCTCAGTTTGCTCGGTGATATCACTCCACTCTGCGCCAGAAAAAAAAAAAGTGAGAAGGAAATGAGAAACTCGAACCAAAAACTAAAAAAGAAAACCCATTTCTACCAACAACAAAAAAACCCCATTTCCTGTAGTTCATCCAACATTTACACAAACCCAGAAACCGCAACAGCGAAAAATCAAAATTATCGGAGAAAACAGAGCGCACACAAAAAGGAAACACAAAGAAGAAAAGGATAGAGAAAAGGAATGGAAAACTCAATCAACCATTGCAAACAATAATTGGGGAAAAGGAAAAAGGACAATGTGTTTAGTGAAGCACAAAAGACAAGAAAAATCTCACCCCCAAAAAAACAAAAAGAAGAGAGCAAAAATGAAGTGGAATGGTCAGGGTAAGGTATAGCGAAGGAATGAAGAGGAAGAGTAGAAGAGCGAAACCCAGTATAAGTAAGAAGAAATGGGAGAGTGAGTAGTCGTCAGATAGTCAATAAAAAGAGAGAGAGAGGAGCTTAAGATGAAGAAGGCAGGGATACCTGAACTTTGTGTATCCGCTCGTAATCCATTAGATCCTCTTCCCTCTCTCTCTCTCTCTCTGAGTTTTCCTTCCCGTGTATCCCGGCTAGCAGAAACAGTACCCTCTGCTTCTCTTCCCCTCAGCAGTGTCGTGAGGTGGTCTCTCTCTGTATACACGAAGTTGGAAGAAGCTGCTACAGAAGCATCTCTTCCTTTATTGCTCTCCTCTGGGATTCTCTGAAACAAATATTGCAGCAGTGAGAGATAGGGAAGATTGCTGCTATGTGTGTGAAATGGAGGAGGAAGAGCGGGGGCCACTCTCTCTCTCTCTAATCTCTCTCCGCCTGTTTCGCCGAAGAAGAAATGAATTGAAGACGACTGTGTGGACTGTCGAACAAGAACAAAATTTGCTTTCACGATCCCACACTTTCAGCCTCTTTCTCTCTATCTACTATTATATCTCTCAGAAATTATAAAACAAAAAAATATTATAATAAATAATAATAACAAAACGTAATAGTGAGGCTAGAGGGCAGTAGCTCCTCACTCCGATCACGCCACGTCAAAAGGATGGTCCCCACCACCGCCACGGCGGGGCCCACTACTCGTCCGATCGGCGATTTTCTTTGACCGAAGAGAAGACCGTTCGTAGGAGAAGAAAGGACTAAATTGCTTACTAACCCCCATCACTTCATGTTGGTCCCCGCCCGCCTTAATATTAAAAACAAATTCCCTTTTTCTCAGTTCCCACTCCCCTGCCTTTCCCCCTTTTTCCCTTCAATTTTTTTTTCTTCCTGTCATTGTTCCCTTTTGTGGTTTGTTGTGACTTGTGAGAGTGAGTTTTTTTCCTCCTAATTCACTTCCATGGTTTGTCAGTCTGTAGTGGTACAGCTTCTGATATAATTGAGTAGAGGTAAATTTCCTGATTTATGCAGGGTAGGTTTGGATGATGGAGTTGCATGATGATGGAGTTTGGTCTAATTGTTTCAAATTGAAGTAATTTGGTTAAATAGTTTGTTTTGGCAACACAACAAAGGGATATATATGTTGGGTTGAAACAATTTGAATGGCTTCTTTTTGCATAAATTTGAATTAATGGATGTATGAAAAAATTATCTTAAATGATGCAACAGTTGTGAGATAACGTAATATCGAGACAAATTAAGTCAAATTATCTCGTCTCTGATATCCATCATCCAAACAATTCTTAATATCATGTAAGTGCAACAGTTATTAAAAACAATCAGAATTGTTAGCTTAGTAGCGTGAAATTGATGACTTCATCAATTCCACTCTAATAATGGTTGAACTATATATTTCGTTCCATTGGATTACTGATTGTGGCGTTGTATTTGAATCAATAACATACATTTCAAATGTGGTATTTGTGTGTCATTTGATAAAGGTGGGAACAAAAATGTCCTGTTTGAGTGGAAAAAAAATTGTGAGTTATTTGCCTACTGTATTTGGTATCACAGAAGGAGCAAATACCATAACAACTTCAAAAGTATAGGAAAGCAGGGTTCTAAAATGCGTAATAAATCACTCGCTTAATCGTGTATAAGCGATGGGCGTTGTCACGACCTTACTCTCGGTCGTGCGGTGTTAGCTCTCAATTCCGTTAGAGAACTAAGCAATATTCTCTCAAACTCACAAGCAAGCAAAGAAAGCAAGAACACAGACAATGAGATGAGAGAACTCTCTAGTGTGTATTACTCTAAAAAAAAAATGATGGAATGACTTACAAGTGAGGGAGATGGCTCCTTATATAGGTCTATCCTCATACAAGGCATCAATGCCCCCCATAATGTCCCTCTACAATCTACATCAATACACCCATTAAGTCCCCATTATGCACTCTATAAGTGTCACCCATTATGTGATTCATAAGTGCACCATTAAGCTCTCATTTAGGTGGAGAATCCTATGAGCATCTCTATGCTACTAGTTTTCATACACGCCGCATGTGCAGCCGCCATGTTGTCACCTTGTTGGCACCATGTCATCTGCCACATGTGACATCCTCCCCCACCTATGCTCGCGACGCCCTCGTCGGGTCAATCTTGATGGAAAGCCTTGATCAAGTCCTTGTTCTTCCAAAGCGTGAGCTCTTTCTCCCAAGTTGCCTCGCTCTCCGGAAGGTTCCTCCACTTGACTAAGTATTCCATGAAGCTTGGATGTATGCCACGACGAGGAATGACACGACACGCCATGACTTCATCGACTTCATGGTCGTATTTCTTCGTGACGAGTGTTGGTACTCGATGCGACTCTCTCCACTGCTCGTCCTCCTTGTCTTCGTGGAACAGCTTGAGTTGGCTCACATGAAAGGCCGGATGGATCTCCAAGTGCGACGACACCTCCACCTTGTATGCCACCTTGCTAATCCTCTTCGCGATCGGGAATGACCCTTCATAGCGGCGAACCAGTCCCTTGTGCATGTTCTTGAGAGTTGAGATGCTTGAAGCGGTGAGAGTAGAACTTCACCATTACCATGTCTCACTCTTCAAAATCCAAGTGTTGCATCTTCTTGTCCGCCCATTTCTTCATCTTCTTACTAGCGCGGGCTAGGTAAGACTTGTTCATCTCCATCTTCTCGTGCCAGCCTTTAGCGAACTTGTAGGTCGTCGGACGGTTGCCTCTATACCCCATTGCCACCATCGTAGGCATCAACGACTGCTGCCCTGTTGTCAACTCGAATGGACTCATGTTGGTCAATTCATTGCGGTGCAAGTTGTAGGAGATTTGTGTCGTGTCCATCAACTTCACCCCATCCCGCTAGTTTGCACTCACATAGTGCCTCAAGTACACCTCCAGCAAGGTGTTCACCCTCTCCGTCTGTCCATCGCTTTGCAAATGAAATGTCGTCGAGAAGTTCAAGTCGTAGCTCATGATCTTGAACAACTCTCGCCAAAATCGGCCCGTGAAGCGGCCATCTCTGTCGCTCACGATGTTGCTAGGAATGCCCCAATACTTGACCATGTTCTTGAAGAATAGTCGTGTCGCATCCTCTGCCGTCATGTCTTTTGGCCCAAGGATGAACACTCCATACTTTGAGAACCTGTCCACCACAACCATGATACAACCGCATCCGTCGACTTTGGGAAATTCGATGATGAAGTCCATGCTTATACTCTCCCATGGTCATTGAGGCGTGGGCAAGGGCTCTAGCAAGCCTGTTGGGCTTCTCTGCTCCATCTTGTCTTGTTGGCACACAAGACTAGTCTTCACATACATCTCCACATCGTCTCTCATACGCGGCCAGAAGTATGCTTCCTCGATGAGTGCTTGCGTGCTCTCGATGCTAGGATGACCCGCCCACTTGGAATCATGGCACTCCTTCATGATCTCCTTCCTCAAGTTGGTCCACCTTGGCACGAACACACGCTCTCCCTTGGTCATGATGAGCCCATTCTTCATCCAAAACCGTCGAGTCTTGCCTTGCTTGATGTACTCGGCCACAGTTTTGGCGAAGGGGTCATGGCCAAGGCCTTCAACGATCCGCTCCTTCAAAGGAAACATGGGATGGCTGATGCTTGCAGCTGCACTCTTGCGGCTAAGAGCATCTGCAACGGAGTTCGCCTTGCCTGGATTGTACTCCATCACGAAGTCGAACTCGGCTAGAAAATCTTGCCACCTCACTTGCTTGGGGGTGAACTTCTTCTGTTTAGGAAGTAGCTTGTTGCCACGTTGTCCGTCTTCACTACGAACTTTGACCCCAACAAGTAGTTAAATATGTTACGGTATTAATATGTACGAAGTGTTGTTACGTTATTATGATTTTATGACATAAAATTACATTTAAAAGTTCAACATTGGTAATAAAATATCATGTATTTATAATATATAATTAAATAACAAATTAAATTCCCTTAAATACGTAGATTCAACGTGTTGAACATATTTGATACATGTTTAATATGTGAAGCATTGGACATACGAGGTTGTTAAATGTTAGTTCATTCATCATATTATTTATTCTTTGTTAAGTGTTAATTAAGTTATTAATTATTTGAATTGGGTGGAGTGGAAAGTCTTGCAAACCACCTAACTCATTTAACATTTATTAAAAATTACTATTTTTCTTAAAACGCTTAAGCGCGTCTAGGTGATGCCTAGGCGAGTTAGGCTCTAGGCGAGGTTGCAACGCACGCCTTATGTCTAGCGCCTTGTAGGAAAGAGAGAAAAATGAAGGGACAAGGTTAAAAAAGTAGATGAATTAATGAGTTATTTGATAATAACTATGGATAAGGGGTCGTTTGGTTGAGATAGTTACAATGCATGTATTGTCCACATTGCATTGGTTTTTTAAATTTTCTTCAAGTTATATATATGTATGGTGGTGTATTCGGTGCACCCACTTTTTTGGGTACACTATGTGCACCTGCCTCATAATTATCATTCTGAGCATGTGATTCATGTCAAAATGGTATCAATTGTTGCTTATGAATTATGAACAAGAAGCACATGAATTTGAAAAAAAAAAGCATTCAAAATTTACTTTAATTTGAAGGATTTAGGGATTTAGGTTTACAATTTGGGATTTTAGGTTGTGATTCAAAATTGAAGGTTAAGGGGTTAGGGTAATAGATTGATTTGTTATGATTCTATGTCATATCATCATATTAGATTGAGAGTACTAATTGAAATTCAAAATTTGATGTATTATGGACACTTTTAGAGACCCAAAAAAGTGAGTGCGCCGAAGTAGCCACCATATATATATAACTACATGTTCTCATAAAAGTAAGAGCAAAAGTGAACTTTCTTACAAAAAGTAATATAACATGTTGAATACTAAAAGAATTATCACCAAAACCAAACAATGTAAAGTAAATTACACCATATTTCTTAATTACATGTATATTACAATGCATGCATTGATTTAAGTATCACCAAAGCCAAACGACCCCAATAGATAAGAGTTAGTCAAAGTAACTCATTTTTTAGTTAATAGGAAATATTATAAGATAAAATATTGCCAAACGAGTTATACTATAAGGCTAACCACAACCTGAGGGGCAAAAACTGTGGTGTGGGGGGGGGGGGGGGGGGGGGGGGTAAGGCTATTTTAGCCTTTTAGCCCGCTCAAAAACAGAAACAGCTGCAACCCAGAGGACTAAAAATTCAAGTTTTGTATTTAGAAATCCTAACTATTGAATAGTTAAACTTATTTTTTTAATTTAAAATTTATATATTCATTCACAATAATTGAATACGAACATTCCGATAAAATTTGAACAAATTCTGAGATACTTTGTTTATGATTGAAATGGAAGAAAGTTACACCGAAATGAACTTCGTTCATCAAAATTACCAAGATTTTGAGCAATTTCGTAGATACCTTTTTTCAGTTGAAATGGAAGAACGTTCCCATTTTTAAATACTTTTTTGTTTCAAATAGCAATAGGACGGTTGAAAGTTACAACGAAAAGAATTTTGTTAGTTAAAAGCACTCACAACAACACAAGTATATTCAATTTAAGTACTAAAACAAAGAAAATATAAAATAATCTTCAGCATTTTAGCCCCCTCTGAAAATCCTCCCAAAAAAGAGCTCATATAGCCCCCTAAAACCCCCTATAGCCTTTTAGCCCCCAAATTTGCCCCATGGTTGAACATGATTTATTAGGGCTAAAAGGGCATTTTGCCCTCTTTTAGCCCATGGGTTGTGGTCGGGCTGCAAATGAGCCAAACCGCTCCCGAGAAACTCGGCGTCGAATCGGAAAAAACTCGTTCGATACTCGACTCGTTATTTAATAAGCCGACTCGCGAGCTAGCTCGTTAGTAAATGAGCCAAGCTTGAGCTAGACCATGCTCAGCTAGATAAGCTCGTGAGCTAGCTTGACTTGGTGGCTTGTTGAGCTAAGCTCGCGAGCTTGGTTGTTTAGAGCTTGTGGAATGATTAGTTACTTTTATGAACATTAACATTATCTTGTTAATACAGGTGTGTATGAAAGTTAGTTGTTATTTATAGTTTCTAATGTTCTTTTTATCATTTAAATTCTTATGTGTACACAATTTTCCGCAAGAATGATTTCAAATCGAGCTTATCTTGAGCCGAGCTTATACTCCGCTTGACGAGCAGTGTTAATGAGCATTTACATTACCGAGCTCTACCGAGTCGAGCTCGAGCTCGAGATGGATTATCAAAATTCGAGTTCGAGCCGAGCTCGAGCTGAAAAATTTATAAACGAGTCGAGCTCAAGCTAAGCAAAAACTCGACTCGACGGGATTTTTCCAGAAATAGCACTATTAAAAAAATTACAAAAATAGCACCCAAGCCACACAAATTCCAAAAGTAGCACCTTTTTTTCAAACACTTATAAACCGCAACCTGAAAGTGCGGTTTGAGTTTCAGAGGCTAAACCGCAGCTTGGCCAAGCCGTTTGCTTTCTGACCTAACAGAACCGCATCATGGCAAGGCGGTTCTTAGGATGATCTAGAAAAACCGCCTGCTGAGGATGTGGTTCTATTTCTCTAACACAAACCGCATCCTCAGGTGCTGTTTTCCATTGTCGACACCCAAACTGCACCCCCCTTGCGGTTTGTGTTTCGTCCCCATTTTTTCGACATCCAACATGTTGCCCATGCAGGTTGACAGATGTGGGGCTGCTGGCAAATGAAAACCGCACCCTCCCCCAGCGGTTTTCAGTGATGATTTAGCCTATAAAAGGCAGTCCCGGGAAACCTCTTCTCTTCAGTCTTCACACCTCTCCTTCTTCTTCTTCTTCTTCTTCTTCTTCTTCTTCTTCTTCAATTTTCTGTTGTAGCACCCTACTTTTATTTTGTATTACTTATTATTGTGATTTGTGATTTTTATGATTTTAATTGAATTACGGTTTTATTGCATATGGCATTCCAAAAGTTCACGCTTGGGTTACGTTGGAATGGTTACACGGAAGAGACCGGAAAGGGGGTCACCTACGTCGGTGGCAATTTTCAGAAAATAAAGGTCGCTATGTAGAACTCCATCAAATGTGTACTAACATTACTTGCATGGATGACACGAGAAGAGTTGATCGTATGGTATACCGATATCCAAACAAAGAAGGCAGGTCGTTGTGGCATGATAAATATATCATAACCACTCAAGATGAAGTAGATGCCATGTTCGAATTCTTGAGGTCCAATCATCTTTCCAAAGACGAGATGTTCGTTTACACCGAGGTGGTCGAAGGCGTTGGAGGTCATTCTGGAGACGGGCAAACATTTGGTATCCTTGGTGGAGGTGAATTATATGGAGATCATCCCTACCAAAGTTACCATGATCCTCATTCCTACTTTCAATACTAAGAGCAAGGTGAAGATCATCATCAATCTTTCCCATCATATGAAGAAAAAGTCCAACGGGACCATGCCAACCAACCCGAGTACAACTTCCATTCAGGCACCCGCAGTTTTCACAACTACCATTACGGAGCTGATGAAGGTGCCTTTCATGATCTAAATCAGATGGAAGATGCACTGCCAGCACCAGTTAGTGACCCCTCCGATGAAGAAGAAGAAGAAGGGAGCAATGTTAGTTAGACAGCTCCGACCCTCTTGAAGGTGCTGATGATTCAAGAGGCCCAGAGTCGGACCAGATGATGATGAGGTGTCTCGTGACCATGTACCTATACCGTACTACACTCACATTCCAAACGACAATTGGTGTGTCGACAGCGACATGGGCCCACCTGAGGTCCCAGTATGGGGTCCACTCAGTGGGTTTATGAAGGGCCAACAATTTGGTTCGAAGAAGGAGGTGCGGCACACCATTGAAACTGAAGCAATGACTCGGTATTTTGAATGGCACACAACTCATTCCAACACGAAGAGGTTCATAGTCAGATGTCGTAATTAACAAGAGGGATGCAATGCTAGGATTCGGGCCATCAACAGCAAGAGACACGGCTATTGGGTCGTATCCCGTGTGGTGAACACACATGTGTGTCATCCATAACATCCCAAGGCCATCAACAGTTGAAATCCAAGGTGATGGCCGCGACTATCAAGCATCTAATTGAGCAAGATCCTGACCTGAAGGTGAAAGTCATAATCGCCGACATTACAAGTCATTATGGTTATATTATTAACTATAAGAAGGCATGGCATGGAAAGTAGAAAGCTCTGGCCGCCGTCTCTGGTGATTGGGAAGAATCATATGCATTCCTTCCCAGGTTTATTTTGGCATTGGAGGCGTCTAACCCTGACACTGTTTTCTCCCCTCGATACCAAGATGAAGAGATACAACCGCCAGAGCCCAATGACAAACGCCATTTCAAACGTCTTTTTTGGGCATTCAAGCCATCTATTGATGGTTTTGGATTATGTGTCCCTGTTGATACTTGGTTTTTCCTCAATGGTGCTAAGCGATCTGTCGCATCAACGCTCCCCTTGACTGGCACTCGAACCCCCAAAACATTGTAGATCAAATGCTGCCAACCGGTCATATCGCCAACATCATCGGGCGCATGATCACTCACACACACCGCTTTGTCGTCGATGGGCAGATGGGTTAGGATGGCGACGTCCTTTAGGGTGATGGTGCACTCTCCTTCGCGAAAGTTGAAGCAATGTGTCTCTTTTTGCCATCTCTCCACCAATGCGGTGATGAGCTGACGATCGATTTTTATGCCCGAAAAATGCCTAATCGACTCCAACTGTGCCTTTTTTAGAAAAGGCAAGCTAACGTCGTTCCATGGGATCACATTGGTCGTACCCCTGTAGCGGAGTATTTGGTATGCCTCCTAGCGAAAATTTTAACGTTATTTATGATATACTAGTAATAGTTTTTTTTTAACTAAATTAATTAAAATAAATAAATTAACTTTGACCATAATTTTATTATAATTATATTATTAACAAACAAATTAAAATAATTCAAAGTTTTTTCCAAGATATATTCATAATTTCATAAAGCAAACATACTTAATTAATTAAATAAATTTTCAATGAATAATAATTTAAAGAGATACATATTCAAATAAATGAAATTAATAAATTAAAATTATACACATACACCTAAATCGTATTGGTTGTTTTAAATAATTTAATCTAATATAATGCAACACTCGTAAGACTTTTAGAAGAGGTATAAATCTTCTTAGAAACGCAGCCTTTTTGACAGAAAAATGGGGGATCCAAGGATCACTTAAAACCCGATTTTCCCAGGGAATGGGAGGATCATGATAATAGCTTAAAACCCCATTTTTTTAGGCATGCATTTCTTTATAAAGAGTCTAAGTAAGTGGCGATATGTATTCGATTAAATTATTGAAAACAACCAATACGATTAAAAATGATCAAATTTATTTTATATTCCACTAAGTACATTAACAAATTAAAAGAAAGAGAAATGATGAAGAATTGTATATACCTCGTGATCGTTCCAAACATCCCTTGAACGATGGTTGGGTTGGTCGTACAACTCGGTTGGATCACTAAGTCCTTGATCAGCATAATAGCGTTGGTTGTATATATCCACGTCGTCCCCAACCTACGAGAGTATAACAAAAACATTAGTACATAGATTAATTTAAAAGGAACAACAACAAAAATTTGGTAAATGAGTACGTACCGCTTGAAATTCATCATAATAAATTCCTTCTTCTTGGAACCACTCGTCCATTTTTTCGTAAAAGTCGGATAGAGATTCGGCGAGTTTTGAAGGAAAAGCCAAAGAAATATTTTCTGATGGCAGATTGAACTTAGTTGCAAGCCCGCAACCAACAGACCACTATTTCCTGGACTTTTGGGAGGGGAGGGGGATGGATAGAGAGATAATTTTAGAGAGAGAAGAATGGGTTGTGTTCTGAAAAAATGAGGAGGGGGAGGGGGTATTTATAGTTTTCAGACCGCACCCTCCAGGGGCGGTTTCGTAATTTTTCCCTTTCCAATACTGCACCTAGAGGGAGCGGTTCACGGCGTCCGAGGCGCAAACCGTTCTCCAGGCGCGCGGTCTGGGATCGCTGATGCGGATCACTGCGCTGGCGTGCGGTTTGCCGGTGGATCGTCGCCTAATCCAACGGTGCTGGGGACCGCCGCCTCGGGAACACGGACCACACGCTGACAATGCGGTTTTGGGGCTGCCCTAGCGGGGACCGCTCCCTCACTGAGCGGTTTGCATATAAAACGCACCTTGAAGGTGCGGTTTTGGAAGAGGGGTGCTATTTTTGTAAAAAAAATTTAGAAGGGGCTATTATTAGAAAAATTCCTGACTCGGCTCGTTTGCAGCACTTTGTGTACAACCTAAGTCAAATAACTCACAATGCCTTGTCCAAACGACCTAAACTGAGTATGTAAATTACGTCCAAAACTTGCAAGATAAAATAAAACGATATGAAAAAATAAGTAGTGAAGGGAAGAATGATTATTGATAATAATGGAAAGTTGGGAGTTGCAGTGTTTAGACAGAGGCTGGGCAGTGTGGCCTACCTAGCCTATCAATCAAATATACACTGTTTGAGGCTTCTTGTGTTAATGAGCAATCGGTTCAGGCTTCAGAGTTTCCCCACATTTATCACCAGACGTAGTCACAGTACGGCTGCAGGTTTTCCCCCACTACTTCAGAGTTCAGTCTTCAGCAGCAATTAGTACAATGCCATTTCGCCTTAACAGTATTCCTGTTTTTTTCTGCTAGCCCTCGTTCTATCATATGGTGAGTTTATTGCTGGAATTGGATACACAATCGAATTCAAATTTACTATCACTGGAGAATTTTTCTTAACAAAATCAACTTCTGGAAACAACAAAAAAAAAAAGATGAAGATCATTCGAGGTTGATATTTCGAGTGTCTGCGTCAAAATCCTCAGAAAACACGTACACTAAGTAACTTCGATAAACCGCGTTATAACATTCTTAACTTTCATTAGCATGAGGAGTTAGGACCGTAATTAACTTGATCAGGTTTGGGTATACTTGGATATGCATTATTATTGTTTGCTAATAGACGGATTAGATTGATGGACATGATTATTCTCTGTCCCGGACCCGGTCTGGGAAACAGTGTTTTTTTAATTGCATAATTAAAGCATATGGAATTGCTGACCGACCGGCCAACGCCGGGCCTCGGCGGTCAAATATGCTTTGCTGGCATTAGTTTCTGTGGAATGATCATCATATTCATACAATATACATGCATATATACTGGTTATGAAAGGTACAATCAATCGATTTGACTGCTGAGCTGAGCCTACTGGCCGGTTTGGTTGACAAGGCAATCAAACCACTCTCTGTCTCTCTCTTTCGTTTCTCTTTTGACTACCGCATGTTCGTTCTTCCTTCTTCGTCTCGTTTTCCCATTCTCCTAATTATGACATGGCTTCTTCGTTTGAATTTTCTGTTTTGGTGGAATAGTATTGTTTTTAAGAAAATGATGACACGAGGCGTTCACGTTCTTGCTTATTTTCAGTGTGAAAGTCAAAAGTATTTAATTCCCATTGGGTTTGGAAGACGGTCCTAGCAGGTAAGTAGCTTATGTATTCGGCAAAGCAAAGCAGTCCACGTTAATTACGAACTAATCAGGCTTTTCGTCACCATGAAAGGCGTAAATAGTAGGGTTGGGAAACGGTGCGGTTTGGTCCATATATACGGTTTATGGTCCAGATCGAGAGGTTGAAGTATAGACCATAGACTAGACTACATACTATACGGTCTGGTCTAGACCACACTTGTGCGGTCTGGTTCGGTCTGGTTTGGTCCAGATAGACCACACTCAACGAAAAATGAATAATTTGTTTAGTCAACCACACAAAAAATTGAACCAATAACTAAGAAAAATAATTTTTATTTACCTTAAAACATTAATCCTAACATGCATGAATAATTTTGATAACCTAAATCTTAGTACATAACAAAGATACAAAGTAAAAGCATCCCAACTTGCACCATAACGTCATAAACATTAACATAATGTCATATGGAGACACGATTATCTCTATTCTCTAGTTAAATGTGGTTGTGAATGAACGAGGGACGAGATTCACAAAATTAAGGTTGAGACTTGGGTGTCATTGTGGGAGTTGGGAGAGTGGTCGAATGGGATGTTAACACGTATTGACAAGTCGGTTGGGTCCACGGTTTGGTCCGGTAAACCGCGGTCTAGACCAGACCAGACTAAGAGATCAAAACATAAAATAATACAGACCATGGACCAGACCAGACCATACTTAACGGTCTATGGTCCAGACCAAACTGTGCGGTACGGTTTCGACCACAGTTTTTCTAACGGTCTGGTCTATTTTCCCAGCCCTAGTAAATAGATACAAAACTAGCTAGCTAGTCTCCGGTCTCCTCAAGTGATGAAATGACAAATATATTAATTAAACTAGTTTTCCACAATTACCATGGATTTAATTTCTACGGGGAAAAAAACATCATTTTTAGACATTGGATCCAAAAATTATAGAATGTAATAATATGTGTTCCAACGTTAACAATAGTTTCCATTGAACAGCTGATCCATGGTTCAAAACGTACGGATTTCATCTTAAAACTTCACGATTTTAATGTGTGTCCGCATCACCAAATATCAGATTTACATTAACACTTCTAAGTTCTATCAATGGTTTCTGTTGGGCATGTGACTCGGATCTCACCACACTGAGGAAGCACCAAGGATGCTCGCGCCAAGGCAAAGCGCGCGAGTCACACCGGAGTCGAGCGCGCGAGTCGCGCCGAAATCAAGCGCGCCGATAGAGACCACCCCCGTGGAGGCGCGCGTAAACACCCAACGACGGCGCATTGCACAGGTGTGGGCCCTCATCGAGTAGCCGTAGAAGCGGCGCCGCGTCATCCAACGGGCCGTCACCATCATAGTCCTAGGTATAGTCCTAGGTATAGTCTTGCCTCTGTCAGGGGTAGTCACATCAGGGTCCTAAAAGTATGGCCTAAATCCCTGATGTGTCAGTGGTCACATCATTGTATCCACTTGTAACCCAACCACTCACCCACCACCATGTAGCCTATAAATATGGCATTTACTCCGGTGGGTGAGGGGATCGGATTTTTCAGACTCTATCTCTAAGATCACTACTTTCTCTCACTAAACACTCTCTCTCTCTCAGTTCTATCCTCCCTCTCATTTGTCCCAAAGTCCTTATTCAACCAATCCATTCATTCTTCTCGACCCATTCTAGTAAACCTCACTCCTACACTCAGTTAGGCTCAAAGAGTTTCTTTTTCTTAGAACATCATTTCACTCCTAGAACTGCATATAATTACGCCGCTCGTGCAATCAGTTTTTTTTTTCCCGTTAAAAATGCGTGTGACCGATCAATTATGGGAAATCATGTGTCGATGGCCCATTCTGGTTGATGGATTATTGGTGGATCTGTTTCTTTCCACTTTGGAGATGATAGAAAGTGGAGTGAATTTTTGGTGGTGGTGGCCGCTCAGTTAAAAAATTGATAAAGACAAAGATGGGACCTGAGAGGGGGAAATAGATCGGTACAATTTCTTACTTGCACAAGAAATCCTCAACCATAAGGGCGGTGAAGAGGAGATGATGAACGTTTATTTTTGCCTACCGGGCTCAAACGGTAATTTTCAAAAGAATAATAACTCCAACGGTAATTTTGCATGGGAAATCTTTTAACTTCACAGATGAATGAACAAAATTTATTCTGCCAGATTTTAACATAGAAAAATGGCAAATTGCAATTGTTGTTAAATACAAGGTACCAATTTTGAGAATTGGCTTTCCACGAAGGTAATTCAATTTTTATTCTTCGGTTCTTAAAAGAAACATAAATTTGGTGACAGAGCGCCGATTTGAAAACATTAGATCAAGTGCGCTAATTTTGAGGACAATAGATCAACATTTGAGTGAGCTAATTCTGTGTCCTAATTGATATATTCAGACTACATAGGTAATACACATGAAATACAGGCCGTGCAGTCTTCTAAGTTTGCTAGGCTCGAGTCATATATATGGAATATAGAAGGTATATCATAAAGGGTATGCCTACTATGACATGCATGTCACGGTGACATGCACTTTTCGGTCGACCTATTGCTGAAGGCGGTCGACCGAATCGACTAATTTGGGCAGCACGAGAAAGCATTGCGGTCGACCTCAACGACCACCTGGTCGACCGCACTTAGTTTAAATTGATATTTTTGGTCGACCAGAATAAAACCTGGGTCGGCCATTTCGTTGGCGTCAGAAACAACATGGTCGACCACCTAAGGTATATAGGTCGACCACTTGATTGCAGTCATTAACAAAATGGTCGACCGGATGATGAAAGAGGTCGACCAGATAGAAGATAAGTGTTCTATCAAAGTGTCCAATTAATTGACGTAAAATCAAGATCAAGTGTTGGTTTCGCGGTCGACCTAATCCGTTACGAGGTCGACCGAATACAAGAAAGTCACCCTATGCCCCGTGTCTTTTTTGCTTATGTATGTCGATTTGTGTGGTTCTTTTAATCGTATAAATTATGTTTCAAACCATCATAATTAGTCATAATTATAACAAGGACTCATCAATTCATAGCATAACAACTAAAAATAAAACAGAAATCATAATTGTTCACACGTAAAAATAAAACTAAAAAAACAACAGAATAACACTCAACAATCGTTTTGACCACTAAAACACACAATATAAAAACTCATTTCTCCTACTCATCTCCCCCTCTCTCTCATCCACATTTTCTTCATTGGTGGTGCTAGCATGATGGTGGTCGGATGTGGTGGGATGCATGTATCTTCCGCTGAAAGATCGCCACTCATCTCGCATCTCATTCACGGTCACCTGCATTGTGCTCATCTGGGCGGTCATTTGCCCCATGTAGTCGTGCATGCCAGTCATCTGGGTGGACATCTGGCCCATGTACTCGTACATGCCATCCATGCGCTCCCACACACGCTGTAAGGTGATCGGTGGAGTTGAACTCTGTGCCTCCCCCATTGGCTCGTCTCGAGCTCCTTCATCACTCTCATCATCATCATCATCATCACCACCATGAGCATTGTTTACTCTGACATACTCACCATTACGCAGCTCAAAGCCCATCTTTTTCAGAGATGAAACAGTATAGAACTCCTGCCTTGAGATTCTTAACCCCACCTCTTCACTTAAATTCACATTAAAATGCTCAAATAGCACAGTGTGGATCATCCCATAGGGAAGATTCCTGTTTGAACTCGCTGCAGCAGTAAGCATGTGGTTAAAGATTAAGTATGGCAAGTTCACCTTCTCGCTTAACAGTAGGTTGGTGAGGAGCTCCATGTCGAAGTAGGTGACTGTCTCCCGATGTCCACCCTTTGGCAGAATGTTGTAGGAAAGCATGTGGTGAAGAACTCTGGCTTGAACTGTCAGGTGGTTACTCGATGGCCTATTGCGCCCCTGAGCATCTTCCTCTTCATCAAGACCACATACCGTCTGGATTTGGTTGGCTCTCGTGAAATGCGTTTCATTCCAAGCACGTAAGAATTGATTCTCTTCCCCTCGTTTGGAGCCTGAAGTACTTGCGCCAACACATTCTTGCTGATGCGCATCGCCACCCCATTCACATAGGATTTGAATGCGTGAATGGATCCATTTGCATTGCGCTCGTAGACGATGTTGTTGTAGAAGTACTGTACCAGTTTTGGGTAGTATGGTACATTGAGAGATATCACCTTCAACCACTCTTGCTCGATGAAGGGTCCCAGAAACCCGTAATTCTCAAAATGAGAATACGCATCCGTCGTCAATGGCCTTCCCGGAGCCACCCTGCGGTTGTGCATTCTCTTCTCTTCATAGTTCTCACTTTGCTCCTTGGTCTGGAACAGATTGGGATTGAACTCTTCCCATTCCGAACTTGAGGCAGCAGCTTTTTGTGCCTTTCTTTTCTTTTTGCCGCCAAACATCCTGCGATCAAACAAGCAAGAATACACGTTAGTCACATTTTCGAAATGAACAATACGCGGTCCACCACTCCATAAAGCGGTCGACCTCAGTTAGTTTAAAACGAGAATGGGTCGACCTCAGAAGAATCATAGGTCGACCTCAGTTAATTTAAAACGGGAATGGGTCGACATACACGAATTTTTGCCTTCATCGGTCGACCTCAAAAGCATCATAGGTCGACCTCGGCTTAATTGAAACAAGTCTAAAATGGTCCAAATCCTCGTACCAATTGAGTGCAAAACAGATCCGGTCGACCTCATAATTAGAAGAGGTCGACCAGTGTTAGTTTCGCACAATTAATTCAAAGACAATTGCACAACTCAAACTTTTGCCTTCATCGGTCGACCTCAGAAGCATCATAGGTCGACCTCGGCTAAATTGAAACGAGTCTAAAATGGGCCAAATCCTCGTACCAACTGAGTGCAAAACAGATCCGGTCGACCTCATAATTAGAAGAGGTCGACCAGTGTTAGTTTCGCACAAATAATTCAAAGAATTGCACAACTCCAACTTTTGCCTTCATAGGTCGACCTCAGAAGCATCATAGGTCGACCTCGGCTAAATTGAAACGAGTCTAAAATGGGCCAAATCCTCGTACCAATTGAGTGCAAAACAGATCCGGTCGACCTCAGAAAAAACATAAATCGACCTCGGAAAATTTAAATCGATTGAAAGCCAATTGTGCTTTCAAAAGCCGTGCAGTTCAGGACATTAGACCACCTTGTAATGCACTCGAAGACACAATCGTTTATGTCTTCGAGTGCATTGCAAGATGGCCTAATCTCCTGCACTGCGCGGCTTCTGAAAGTCACAATTGCCTTTCAATCGATTTAAATGGCCCGAGGTCGACCTCAATATCATCACAGGTCGACCTCAATAAGTTAAGCACAAATAAATCGAACTTTTGCCTTCATAGGTCGACCTCAGAAGCATCACAGGTCGACCTCGGCTAAATTAAAACGAAAAGAAATGGCCCAAATGCTCGTATCAATTGAGTGCAAAACAAATTCGGTCGACCTCATAAATAGAAGAGGTCGACCAGTGTTAGTTTTGCACACATAATTCAAAGACAAAGGCACAACTCGAACTTTTGCCTTCATAGGTCGACCTCAGAATCATCATAGGTCGACCTCGGCTAAATTAAAACGAAAAGAAATGGCCCAAATGTTCGCATCAATTGAGTGCAAAACAAATTCGGTCGACCTCATAAATAGAAGAGGTCGACCAGTGTTAGTTTTGCACAAATAATTCAAAGACAAAGGCACAACTCGAACTTTTGCCTTCATAGGTCGACCTCAGAATCATCACAGGTCGAACTCGGCTAAATTAAAACGAAAAGAAATGGCCCAAATGCTCGTATCAATTGAGTGCAAAACAAATTCGGTCGACCTCATAAATAGAAGAGGTCGACCAGTGTTACTTTTGCACAAATAATTCAAAGACAAAGGCACAACTCAAACTTTTGCCTTCATAGGTCGACCTCAGAAGCATCACAGGTCGACCTCGGCTAAATTAAAATGAAAAGAAATGTCCCAAATGCTCGTATCAATTGAGTGCAAAACAGATTCGGTCGACCGCATAAATAGAAGCGGTCGACCTGTGTTAGTTTCGCACAAAAAAAAACAGAAATAAGATCGCTTGAATAATAAGTGCACAAATCTCAACTCGAACTTCACAGGTCGACCTCAATATCATCATAGGTCGACCTCAGTCCATAAAACAGAAATAAAAATCGATTTAAGGCCAGATGCGGTTGACCATGATTATGAAAAGGTCGACCGCATCTGGCGAACAGAAGGACAAAGTCCATATTTTCAAGCTACAGATCTAAATAATAAGGCCAGAAATCTCAACTAGAACTTCACAGGTCGACCTCAATATCATCATAGGTCGACCTCAGTCCATAAAACAGAAATAAAAATCGATTTAAGGCCAGATGCGGTTGACCATGATTATGAA